CGCTTCCCTCCTTTAGGGTCTGAGCTACCCAGGACTTGCATTGCACCGAGGTTTCTTCTGGTAGGTGATGGGACCTGGGGATCCGTGGGGGTCAGGGGCCGTGTGTCTCTCCAGCTGTGGTCCATGCACACTCCACTTGTAAATATCGGACCCAGCACCCTGGCTGTGTGAGTAGGGCGCCTTGCCACCCTCTTCCACCCCTTCTCCCTGCGGGGCGGCTCAGCCTGGGGTGTCAGGGAGATCATTAAGGGGCACTGCTCCTTCTCCACACCTGCGACGCTTCCCTGCTGTAATTTTATGGGCCGTGAGGAGGCAGGTTTGACACCGGGACACAGTCTCTGCCAACAGCTGCAGACGAGCCAGCTCCCCAGACAGTAAAATGTAAAGAGGGGGGAGGGGGCAACCTTTGAAGTTTGCAAAAAAGCATGACTTTGACCACTTCCTCTTCCCTTTTTAAACGGCTCCCAGGTATTATGTTGAGAGCGGCTACCGCTAGCTTTACAAGGACAGATCCGCTTCCTCCCAGCGCTGGAGACTCAGGTCTGCATGGTCCCCAGCATTTTAATACCATTTCTGGATGGCCCTCTGTGTCCTAGATGACACCAGGATGAGCAAATGGGGAATGGCTGCTGAGCTGGAGGTGCAGTGGGCATCTGCACAGACGCACACCTGCACGGTGCTCTAGGCTGTGTTGCCGACAGCGGCTTCTTCCTTGGGCTTCCTGATTCTGACCATAAAGGAACCGTGACATGAGGAGCGGATTAAAGCTGTGGCTTTTTTTTGATCTTAGTGTCCAGTGGCTCCTTTCTTTTCCCACTTTGTTCCAGCATTTTCTCTTTTTGTTTAAAAAGAGACTCCAGGAGTTTAGTTGATCTGTCACTTCTAGGTACTTTAGCATAAGAAGTCCTGGATGTGTGTGTGTGTGTGTGTGTGCTTGTGTGTGCACATGTGTGTGAGTCCAACACCACCTGCTCCTCGGGAGGCCTTGCTCAGTGAGCTTGTGGGGAGCATGCGTGGTGGCCAGCTGTGAGGTGCTAGGGTAGCCTCTGCGCCCCTTGCGAGGGCTGCAGGCTGCTGTGAGGCTGAACCGTGGTAATGGGAAGAGCTATGGGAAAGCGAATCCTGGCTGACCCCCGACCCCCCCCCCACCATGTCCTGCTACTATCCCAGGCTGCCAGCAGTTCTCGGCTGGCAGCTCTCTCTGCCACTCCACCATGGCCACGTTGGGCTGCTCCACCCTTGTCTGCCTCTTGACCTCCCAAGGCCTTCTGGTGTCCACTCTTGCTCTTTTCACCTGGGTATCTACCCAGACAATGGTAGCAAGTGCCTCTATGACAGCGTTGGCCTCCCCCGCAAACCCTGCGGAACCTTCCTGGTGTTCCTGCGGGTAGGCCTCAGCCGGCACAGCACTCCTGTCTCCCTGGCCCCCATCTCTCTGGCTTTCAGGCCTCCGGTTGGGCCTTGCACGTCCTCCTAAGGAGCCACGGGCACACTCCCTGCACCCCCAGCGCCTCCGCGTCCTGCAGGCGCTGATCCAGCTTCTTGGAGAAGCACTGTCTACCTCCTGGTTGTTGGAGCTCCTCCCGTGCCAGGGTCTTGTCACTAAGTCCTGCCGGTCTGCAGCAACCTTGGGCCCACGGCCTGGATGTGGCTGGCAATGCCAGCCTGTGATGGTTTCTACCCAAGGAAGCCAGACGCTCCGGGAGCCAGCCCGGCAGGCAGCAGAGTGGATTCCCTGCAGGGCAGACCCAGGCCTCGGGAGTGCCACGAATCTGCCACGAGGAAACTGCTCCTGTAATCCTTCGTCCCTGGCAACGAAAGTACTGGGTCGTACTGCCTCGGGCCCTGGGGAGCAGGGACACACGTCCTCCCTCTTCCCTGAGGCACCACTCGGTCCCCTGTTCATCACTGTCCTTGCTAGCACACTCCAAACCCAGCCATCTGCATGCCACCCAGGTGCCTGTTGGGCAAAGACGGGTCCCTGGAAGGACATTCACATGCACACTCTCCCCTCTCTTGACCAGGTCCAGGCTCTTCTGAGCTGAGGTCTCCTCCCACCCTCTGACTGGGCACCTGCCCTTCATGCTTGTTCAATACACCAGTGCAAGCCGTGTCCTCCAGACGGGGTGCTCTGCGTCTCGGGACAAACTGCCCTTCATACAAGAGGCTTATGCAGGGGTTGATGTGCAAGAACGGCAAGCACACCACAGCAAAGTGACAGTAGGGACACTGTGGGACCCAGGGCCTCTTGCTCAGCCTCATGAAGAGGCAGCCTGACAGGAGAGTGTGGTCTAGCCAGAGTGGCGAGAGGTGACCTCCTCAACTGTTCCTGGATGTAGGCAGTTCCAGGATGGAGGTTTCTCACCAGAACACTGATGTCCTCCCCTGGGGTCTGCTGCCCCGATGCCCTCCCCTCCCCTCAGGCGCAGAGCAATGGACTTGTCCACCTTTGGACTGAGACCTCTGAAACAGTAAGCCCTGAATAAACTTCCCCTCCTCTAAGTTGTTCTTGTCAGATATTTTTGTCACAGTGACACAAAGATGACATACCTGTGTGGACCATGATCTCCCTAGAGGAATACAGTGCTCCCACAGAAGCCAGAAGATCCTTCATGTTTCGATAAAGCTTCTAATGACCTAAGTACGTGTGGTGACCCGCGCCGTTTGGAGGATTTAAGCGTGGCCAAGGGATAAGGCTTCCTTTTCATCTGCTGCGGGTGCTGTGTGGGGTGCTGGCTCCCATTGACACCAGTCCTCGTTTCCTCACCTGGTGCACGGCTGCTTCTGTCTGCACCTTGCCAGATGCTCCTGCCTGCTGCCCTGGATGAGTGAGGCAGCCTCCACTCCATCTATTTTTTTTTTTTTTTTTTGGATACTGGGGATTGAACTCAGGGGCACTTGACCGCTGAGCCACACCCCCAGCCCTATTTTGTATTTCATTTAGAGACAGGGTCTCACTGAGTTGCTTAAGGGCCTCACTCAGTTGCTGAAGCTGGCTTTGAACTTCCGATCCTCCTGACTCAGCCTCCCCAGCTGCTGGGATTACAGACGTGCACCACCACACCCGGCTCCACTCCATCTTTTTTATTTTGGGCAGCGTTGGGGTGGAACCAGGGCCTGGTGCATATAGGCAAGTGCTTTGGTACAGCCTCATGTCCACCCTCACTCTTATTTATCTGCTTTGATGGGGTGACTGAGGTCTTTCACTGAGGAGAGCTGCAGTGACTGGCAGGAGCCCAGCACGACAACATCATGTGGAAGAACCTTCCAGGCCAGGGAGCAGAGGTGCCCAAGGCTGTGTGCTGCAGTCTGGCTGGGCACAAATAACCGGGAGGTCACGAGCCACTTGTAGGTTCAAACAGGAACTACTTTATTGCCAGAACCCAACGGGAACTCAACGGGAACTCTGCGAGAACTCAAAAGTATCAGGCACCCGAGGTAGCAGGAGCCCCCTTATTGCCGGACAGCAGAGGTTTATATACACAACTGAATACACAGCCTGTTTCAATTTAGCATCATCCAGTTAGAGCAATCAGTCATTATCTTAATAATTATACACAGCTTAACTTAATTATCATCATCTTAATGGCTCGCTGATGTTACTTCTCAACCACTCCTTCTGGCAAAATGCCAGGCGCCATCTTGACTTGGTTGTGGCTCTCAACAGCTGTGGGCAGGAGCCAGCTTGGTGTGTCCCAAGAACAGAAATGATGTGGGACACCTTGCGGTGAGGGCAGGGCTGTTGCAGGGGATCATGGAGGTAGGAGGAGTCAGAGAGGCATCCAGCCTTCTCTGAAAGGGCCACATGGGCAGAGATGTCAGCCGTCCACTCAGTAGCTAATGCACACGAGATTCCCACACTGTGCAAGTCTTACATACCGCGTTTCTTGTCCTCACAATCGATGGGTATCGAGGTCTAAACTGGCAAAATAAAGGAGTCAAGTGAGGCTGCAGGCCAGACCACCTACCTGTAGTGATGGAAAAGGAGCCAGAGCTGGACTTTGACCCAGAGAGCTCTGACTGCCCACTGCACTGGGCCCCTTTTGGTTTTCCTCAGGAGATGGTTCTAGAAGAAATGACAGAGAAAAATCTGAAGGCAGGCTCAGACCGAAATTCCCCAAACCCGTGAAGCCAGCAGCAAGAGGAGCAGAAACAAGTGAGCAGAAACCATCCACCTGGCCTTTGGTGCAGGCTTGACCCAGCACAGGCTGCACATGGCCAGGTGCTGTCAGGGCGCAGGGGCAGCTCCAGCGCCATCCAGCCAGACCTGAATCATGAGGCACGTGCGCCACGTCCTAAAATCAGGAGGCCCGTTCTGAGCCACCGTTCTGTTGCGTCTTGAGTCGAGTCCAAGCCTCGATTTTCAGCAGGGGCCTTTCTCTCTGCATTAGCTGCCAGAGGAGAAGGTGTATTTGTCACTTCTTAAGTCCTTGTGAAAGAGGAGGAGCACAACTGGCTGATGGTGGCACTGAAGGATGTGTAGAAAGATCTGTCTCCTTTTCCCCAAGGGCCTTCTTTCTCAAGTGACCGAATGGAGGAAAAGGTGTCAACAGCGAGAAGATGCAGGAAGACTGGGAAGACGAGCCCCAGGACTCTCCTCCCACCCTGGGCTTCAGAGCCAGAGGGGCCTGAGTTCAAAGTGAGACTCAGGAGAATCAATAGTGGAGAAGAAAGAAAGGAGGAAACTCACCGTGATTCTTTCCCACTGCGAGAGGAATGAGCCTGGCCAGAGGCAGGACAGAGGGCCCAGCTTGCTGTCCACCCTTTACCTTGCTGATAATTTACACTGCTGGAAGGTTTCCACCCATGTCGTAAGTATTATGCATGCCAACTAGGGGGAGTAACTTGCTACGTTTAGCCCTGGAGAATCATGACAGTGTACGGCTGCCGTGTGTGATAACGTGCTCTCCCGTGCTGTCCCCCATCCTTGACCACTGCAGATTCCATCTCCAAGGTGAGACACAAGCACAAATACTTTCACAACAAAATATTTCTTACAGAGCAAGATCGCTTGCAAAGCAGGTGAGAAGGATTCCCGAAGTAAGATCTATCTTCGTCGCTTGTATCAGATGTATTCAACCTCTCTTGCAAACATGGAATTCTCCAGAAGGTGAGTTCCTTTCTAAAACATATTTTAATGCCTTTTTTTTCTTGGTTGTTTTGTGGTCCTGTGAATGAAGTCCAGGCCCTTGTGCATGCTGGAGCTACACCCCAGCCCTTAATGCCTAATTTAAATGTCTTTCCACAATCGTCTTTGCACATAAGTGTGTTAGAGAATTGCCACTCAGGAGGCCACCAAATGCTCTGGAAGGCCATCAGATAGGGCACGGTTACCATCCCTCTGAGATGGAGACCCAGAACTTTAGGTAGCCTGGCTGGGGGTCTTCAGCCATGGAAGGCCTTCTGGTCCCTGGCCTGCTTCCAGAGGTCCTATGTGTCCTGGGAGTACTTTCCTGTAGCTGTGTGGAGATGTGGGGGTTGGCCTCTCTGTGTCCCTGGCACTACTGGTGGGGTCACAGTGAACCTCAGGACCCGGCTCACCGTTGCTCCTTAAGAGCCAGGACTTGAACTTGGATCCGTGGCCCATCCTGCTCTGTGGGCTGGGGGGTGTGAAGCCAGCGCATGTCTCTTGGCCATCGGTCGTGCAGAAGCCCACTCCCAGTGGAGACTGGCAGGGAGATGGGAAACTGTGTCCTTTCTTTAGAGGACACAGAAGCCAGGCCATCTCGGAATGAGATGGACGGAGGGCACTGTGATGGTCTGGAGGACTCACTGGGACCTCCTAGTGTTTCAAGGCCACCTTTTCTGAGATTCTGAACCTGGGGCCTTTCTCTTCCTCAAAGGGCTCAAGAGCTCTCTAGATCTGTTGAACACACAGCAGAGAGATGGGTCCTAAAGGTGGAGACCAAAGTCTTCAGGGGTCAGAGCCTTGTGAGGGGGAAAAGCCCCTTCCTTCCCTCCCCAGAAACCCAGAGTCCACCCCCGGGCTGTTTCCCACGAGGCCACTGCACATGTCCAGCTGGGAGACTGCTGTGGATTCTTGTAGCAAGGAGCCAGTTTCTGGTCATTTGGAGGGTGGAGGAGGTGTCTCCCTGGTTTAGGGACCAATTCAGGCTCCGCTATTAGCATTTGAATCAGGCAGCCAAGCAGTTTTGATTGAACAGAGAAGCCAAGCCTTTGTTGTTGCAATCTAAGGGCTTAAGTAATTTTCTGGCCTGCTTTAATCAGTGGGAAAGGGGAAATGGAGATGGGCCAAGAAGTGTGTTCTGGCCTCTGAGGCCCAGCGTGAGCCCCTGATCCCAGGCCGGCTCCTGAACTGCCGTCCTTACACTCAATCTGCTCAAGTGTCTCCAGAATATATATTTTTTGGTTTGGATTAAACCAATCCAAATAATTATGGAGACACAGCAGGAGGGGATGGCAACCCCATGGTCACAGTCTTCTCTTGCAACCCCCCACCCACAAAAGGAGCCGAAAGGCAGAGATCTGTGGCCGGTTCAAGGACAACATCCAAGTAACCTTGTCACACAGTGGAGCTACGGCCTCTTAAGAGCACAGGGAACTCCTGGAGGTAGCTCATGGTATTTAATTGACATGGGAAGGAGACAGTCTATCCATGTACATAACTAATAAAAATTGTAAAATCTTAAGTTTAGAAAGGCTGAAGGCCAAGTTTCCTCAGCCCGCTTGCTCTTTCCCGTAGCTGGCGTTACGTTTTCTTATATTGTGCACAGACAGACAGACATGAAGGACTCCAAAAATGCAGATGACTATGAAAAACCTGTTTGGAAAAAAATAGTCTTTGGAAAACTTGACCTCTTGGCAGCCATGCTCAGAGTCTGCTCTGGGCGGGGTCCTGGAGCAGATGAGCCAAGCCCCTGGCCTGCTCCATCTGGGCACACTTTCTGAGGAAAGGTGCCTATGAAACACCCAGAGGCCCTGGCATACCTCGTGGGGCCTGCTCGCGTCCTTGTGTCCACGCTCAGCAAACCCCAGCGCCTGCACACTCAGACGTGAGTGCGTGGCATTACAGCGCGCTTCCAGAGGCATCCAAGTACACCGCACCCCCTGACGTCTGCTCTGTCAGCTCAACTACCTGCAGGCTCCCTGCAGGCCAAGGGCTCCCTGCCTCTCAGACTGGCTCCAGCTCACTCCCTGATTCCTCTTCCTCTCCCTCATTTGGGCCACCCATGGCTTCCCCTGGAGTCCTCCCCTGCAGATGGCCTTCTCTCCGCCCAACCCTGCATGGGGGCGGGGGCCTTTCCGCACCTTCCTGGGGGATGGTCCCAGCTGTTTGAGAGCTGGACGCCTGGAGGGCAGGTACTCTGCCTTCATTAGTGTGTGTCTCCCCCTGGGCTGGAGCCCTTCCCCAGGGAAGGCAGTTTACCCAACAGCTGTTCCCGGGGCTGATAAAAGACCTCGTGTTTGCTTCTGCCTTGGTGTTTGCTGTGTGGCGTGTGTGGAGACAAATGGCCACTCTGTAGTCAGCTTGAGAGGAATCCACCCTGACTCCCCCACCTTTGCTCTGGTGACCCCATGGCTCAGCAGGAGCCCCCCAGGGCTGTCGGCTGAGCCTGTGTGGAGGTGGGAGCTCACACGGTGCTTCTTTGTCACAGGTGTTCTGGTCTCTCCAGGGGAAGCCACGCAGAAGGGGGACGATGTCCTGGCAGGCCTTGCCCACAGTCCCTCCTGGCCGCTGGCTGTTCACTGGCTCTAGAGCCCGGTGCTGACGCCAGGAGTCTACACTTTGACGGGGACAGGTCAAGGGTAATCCAAGGTCCCCTGGACTCTCAGGCTGACCAAGGCCTGAAGGGATTCCCTGCCAGGCACGGTCTCATGGCCTCTGTCCCCAGGTGAGGGGCACTGTGCTCCAAACATACCTTACCACACTCCAGCCCTGGGACTGTCCCCCTCTGGCGAGCCAGCGTGCCCCTAGGTGTGCATGTGTCATCCCTAGTGTGTAAACAACTGAGTGACCTTGCACACTGTGGGTGTGCACACGGGACTCGGAGCAGCGAGGATGGCATATTCCTGAGCCATCCTCAGGGTGTTGCCAGCAGCCTGTCCATGAGCCAGCCCCCCTGACAGTGTGCACCCCCTCAGCCCATGTTTCCTGGACATAGCCCCCTGACAGTGTGCACCCTCTCAGCCCACGGTCCCTGGGCATGGCTCCCCCAACAGTGTGTACCCCTCAGCCCATGCTCCCTGGACATGGCCCCCCAGCAGTGTGCACCCCTCAGCCCATGCTCCCTGGGCATGGCCCCCCGACGGTGTGCACCCCCCCAGCCCACACTCCCTGGGCATAGCCTCCCGACAGTGTGCACCCCTCAGCCCACGCTCCCTGGACATGGCCCCCCTGGCAGTGTGCACCCCCTCAGCCCACGCTCCCTGGGCCTGGGCCCATTTTTATGCCAGGTTTACTTTTAATAGTAGGTCAGAAAAGGGGATTGCATGTGGCTCCACACTGGGGGGACTTGCAGGGGCTCAGCAGAGCCACACAACGCATGGAGGCTGGGGGCTTCCCCTGGGGCAGTCCTGGTCCAGGCTTCCAGCAGGAGCAGTGGGAGGACCTGTCAGAGCAGCCTGTGTGTGTTCAAGGGGTGCTGAGCCTGACAGCTTCCCTGTGTTTGCTTTTCTCTGTTTGGTGCCACCTGAGCAGACTGATGGAGAGAGACGGCCGCTTTGCAGATGAGCACGCTGAGCGCAGAGCTGGAGGTCTGGTCAGTGACCCTGGGTCTAGTGGCAGCACAAGTGACACTCTGTCCTGCCTGGGATGGAGATCTGGGAGGCTCTGGGGGAGCTGGCATTCTTGTGGGTGCAGAAACCGGCCAGCAGGCGGTGGCTGCCCTGGAGGGTAAGGAGTGAAGAAGTCCGTTTGCCCTGAGTGGTGGTGTGGGGGTGTCTCGGGGCATTGGTGACCAGGGGACCGGGGCCAGTCGGGGTTGTAATGAGACAAAAATCTATTGTTGAATCCAACTTAAAAACAGAACCCAAAGACCCACCTTCCTCTGGCCCCAAGGGCCCCCTCAGTTGCCACCCTGTGATGATCTGGCAGCAGGCAGGAGGCAGAAGTGCGTAGCCTGGTGGGGTCCAGGCAGCGTCACTCAGCAACGAGACACTACTTCCTAAAGTGGCACTTATTAGACAATGGAAAACTTAAAATATGAATAAATAAATACCCATTTAAGTGAGCATTGCTGCCCTACTGTCCCAAACTCTTTTCTAAACATTGTTCCTCGTATTACAAATATAATGAAAGCAGCCACAACGAAATCAAAGTATTCTTTGCTTCTGAAAGCTGGATTTCATGGTCCCGAATGAAGACACCGGGCAGGAAGAAGTCCAGCCCAGGGAAATGGGGACAGAGGACCCACCACCCATCGGGCGTCAGCCTGGAGCAAGGCCTGCCCTTCGCTTCCTGAAGTGCCAGAGCCTAGCGAGTGCACAGAGAACGCCCCACCGGAAAACAGGAGGTCGCCAGGTGGCCCTGTGTGGCATGTGAGTGGCAAAGCAATCGAACAAAACCCAGAAATGAGAAATGTTTGCAAACAGACAAAAACTAACAAGCAACCCATGTTGCAGTGATGAAGTTTGTGGTGGAGGTGATCTGGGGTGTGGCGGAGGTGAAGGAGTGTGTGGTGGTGGTGAAGGGGTATGTGGTGGATGTGGTGGGGTATGTGGTGGAGGGGAAGGGGTATGTGGTGGAGGGGAAGGGGTGTGTGGTGGAGGTGAAGGGGTGTGTGGTAGAGGTTGAAGGAGAGTGTGGTGGTGGTGAAGGGGTGTGTGGTGGAGGTTGAAGGGGTGTGTGGTGGAGTGAAGGGGTGTGTGGTGGAGGTGAAGGGGTGTGTGGTGGAGTGAAGGGGTGTGTGGTGGAGGTTGAAGGGGTGTGTGGTGGAGGTGAAGGGGTGTGTGGTGGAGGTTGAAGGGGTGTGTGGTGGAGGTGAAGGGGTGTGTGGTGGAGGTGAAGGGGTGTGTGGTGGAGGGGAAGGGGTGTGTGGTGGAGGTGAAGGGGTGTGTGGTGGAGGTTGAAGGGGTGTGTGGTGGAGGTGATGGGGTGTGTGGTGGAGGTGAAGGGGTGTGTGGTGGAGGTGAAGGGGTGTGTAGTGGAGGTTGAAGGGGTGTGTGGCGGAGGTGAAGGGGTGTGTGGTGGAGGTTGAAGGAGTTAGTGATGGAGGTAATCTGGTGTGTGGTGGAGTGAAGGGGTGTGTGGTGGAGGTTGAAGGAGTTAGTGATGGAGGTGAAGGGGTGTGTGGTGGAGGTGATGGGGAGTGTGGTGGAGGGGAAGGGGTGTGTGGTGGAGGGGAAGGGGTGTGTGGTGGAGGTTGAAGGGGTGTGTGGTGGAGGTGAAGGGGTGTGTGGTGGAGGTGAAGGGGTGTGTGGCGGAGGTGATGGGGTGTGTGGTGGAGGTTGAAGGAGTTAGTGATGGAGGTGAAGGGGTGTGTGGTGGAGGTTGAAGGGGTGTGTGGCGGAGGTGATGGGGAGTGTGGTGGAGGTTGAAGGAGTTAGTGATGGAGGTAATCTGGTGTGTGGTGGAGTGAAGGGGTGTGTGGTGGAGGTTGAAGGAGTTAGTGATGGAGGTGAAGGGGTGTGTGGTGGAGGTGATGGGGAGTGTGGTGGAGGGGAAGGGGTGTGTGGTGGAGGTGAAGGGGTGTGTGGTGGAGGTGATGGGGAGTGTGGTGGAGGGGAAGGGGTGTGTGGTGGAGGTGAAGGGGTGTGTGGTGGAGGTGATGGGGAGTGTGGTGGAGGTGAAGGGGTGTGTGGTGGAGGGGAAGGGGTGTGTGGTGGAGGGGAAGGGGTGTGTGGTGGAGGTTGAAGGGGTGTGTGGTGGAGGTGAAGGGGTGTGTGGTGGAGGTGAAGGGGTGTGTGGCGGAGGTGATGGGGTGTGTGGTGGAGGTTGAAGAAGTTAGTGATGGAGGTGAAGGGGTGTGTGGTGGAGGTTGAAGGGGTGTGTGGCGGAGGTGATGGGGAGTGTGGCGGAGGTGATGGGGAGTGTGGTGGAGGTTGAAGGAGTTAGTGATGGAGGTAATCTGGTGTGTGGTGGAGTGAAGGGGTGTGTGGTGGAGGTTGAAGGAGTTAGTGATGGAGGTGAAGGGGTGTGTGGTGGAGGTGATGGGGAGTGTGGTGGAGGGGAAGGGGTGTGTGGTGGAGGTGAAGGGGTGTGTGGTGGAGGTGATGGGGAGTGTGGTGGAGGGGAAGGGGTGTGTAGTGGAGGTGAAGGGGTGTGTGGTGGAGGTGATGGGGAGTGTGGTGGAGGTGAAGGGGTGTGTGGTGGAGGGGAAGGGGTGTGTGGTGGAGGGGAAGGGGTGTGTGGTGGAGGTTGAAGGGGTGTGTGGTGGAGGTGAAGGGGTGTGTGGCGGAGGTGAAGGGGTGTGTGGTGGAGGTGAAGGGGTGTGTGGTGGAGGGGAAGGGGTGTGTGGTGGAGGTTGAAGGGGTGTGTGGTGGAGGTGAAGGGGTGTGTGGCGGAGGTGAAGGGGTGTGTGGTGGAGGGGAAGGGGTGTGTGGTGGAGGGGAAGGGGTGTGTGGTGGAGGTTGAAGGGGTGTGTGGTGGAGGGGAAGGGGTGTGTGGTGGAGGTGAAGGGGTGTGTGGTGGAGGTGATGGGGAGTGTGGTGGAGGTGAAGGGGTGTGTGGTGGAGGGGAAGGGGTGTGTGGTGGAGGGGAAGGGGTGTGTGGCGGAGGGGAAGGGGTGTGTGGTGGAGGTGAAGGGGTGTGTGGTGGAGGTTGAAGGGGTGTGTGGTGGAGGTGAAGGGGTGTGTGGTGGAGGTGAAGGGGTGTGTGGCGGAGGTGATGGGGTGTGTGGTGGAGGTTGAAGGAGTTAGTGATGGAGGTGAAGGGGTGTGTGGTGGAGGTTGAAGGGGTGTGTGGCGGAGGTGATGGGGAGTGTGGCGGAGGTGATGGGGAGTGTGGTGGAGGTTGAAGGAGTTAGTGATGGAGGTAATCTGGTGTGTGGTGGAGTGAAGGGGTGTGTGGTGGAGGTTGAAGGAGTTAGTGATGGAGGTGAAGGGGTGTGTGGTGGAGGTGATGGGGAGTGTGGTGGAGGGGAAGGGGTGTGTGGTGGAGGTGAAGGGGTGTGTGGTGGAGGTGATGGGGTGTGTGGTGGAGGGGAAGGGGTGTGTGGTGGAGGGGAAGGGGTGTGTGGTGGAGGTGAAGGGGTGTGTGGTGGAGGTGAAGGAGTGTGTGGCGGAGGTGATGGGGAGTGTGGTGGAGGTGATGGGGTGTGTGGTGGAGTGAAGGGGTGTGTGGTGGAGGTGAAGGGGTGTGTGGTGGAGGTGAAGGGGTGTGTGGCGGAGGTGAAGGGGTGTGTGGTGGAGTGAAGGGGTGTGTGGTGGTGGTGAAGGGGTGTGTGGTGGAGTGAAGGGGTGTGTGATGGGGAGTGTGGTGGAGGTGAAGGGGTGTGTGGCGGAGGTGAAGGGGTGTGTGGCGGAGGTGAAGGGGTGTGTGGTGGAGTGAAGGGGTGTGTGGCGGAGGTGATGGGGAGTGTGGTGGAGGTGAAGGGGTGTGTGGTGGAGGTGAAGGGGTATGTGGTGGAGGTGAAGGGGTGTGTGGCGGAGGTGAAGGGGTGTGTGGTGGAGGTGAAGGGGTGTGTGGCGGAGGTGATGGGGTGTGTGGTGGAGGTGATGGGGAGTGTGGTGGAGGTTGAAGGAGTTAGTGATGGAGGTGAAGGGGTGTGTGGTGGAGGTGATGGGGAGTGTGGTGGAGGTTGAAGGAGTTAGTGATGGAGGTGAAGGGGTGTGTGGTGGAGGTGAAGGGGTGTGTGGTGGAGGTGATGGGGTGTGTGGTGGAGGTGAAGGGGTGTGTGGTGGAGGTGATGGGGAGTGTGGTGGAGTGAAGGGGTGTGTGGCGGAGGTGATGGGGTGTGTGGCGGAGGTGAAGGGGTGTGTGGTGGAGTGAAGGGGTGTGTGGCGGAGGTGATGGGGAGTGTGGTGGAGGTGAAGGGGTGTGTGGTGGAGGTGAAGGGGTATGTGGTGGAGGTGAAGGGGTGTGTGGCGGAGGTGAAGGGGTGTGTGGTGGAGGTGAAGGGGTGTGTGGCGGAGGTGATGGGGTGTGTGGTGGAGGTGATGGGGAGTGTGGTGGAGGTTGAAGGAGTTAGTGATGGAGGTGAAGGGGTGTGTGGTGGAGGTGATGGGGAGTGTGGTGGAGGTTGAAGGAGTTAGTGATGGAGGTGAAGGGGTGTGTGGTGGAGGTGAAGGGGTGTGTGGTGGAGGTGATGGGGTGTGTGGTGGAGGTGAAGGGGTGTGTGGTGGAGGTGATGGGGAGTGTGGTGGAGTGAAGGGGTGTGTGGCGGAGGTGATGGGGTGTGTGGTGGAGGTTGAAGGAGTTAGTGATGGAGGTGAAGGGGTGTGTGGTGGAGGTTGAAGGAGTTAGTGATGGAGGTGAAGGGGTGTGTGGCGGAGGTGATGGGGAGTGTGGTGGAGTGAAGGGGTGTGTGGCGGAGGTGATGGGGAGTGTGGTGGAGGTGAAGGGGTGTGTGGTGGAGGTTGAAGGAGTTAGTGATGGAGGTGAAGGGGTGTGTGGTGGAGGTGATGGGGAGTGTGGTGGAGGTGATGGGGAGTGTGGTGGAGGTTGAAGGAGTTAGTGATGGAGGTGAAGGGGTGTGTGGTGGAGGTGATGGGGAGTGTGGCGGAGGTGAAGGGGTGTGTGGCGGAGGTTGAAGGGGTGTGTGGCGGAGGTGAAGGGGTTAGTGATGGAGGTGATGGGGAGTGTGGTGGAGTGAAGGGGTGTGTGGCGGAGGTGAAGGGGTGTGTGGCGGAGTGAAGGGGTGTGTGGCGGAGGTGATGGGGAGTGTGGTGGAGGGCGAGGAGAATGCAGAGCCAAGCACCTGGATCCCTGATGTTCTGCGGCAGACCCTGCTTGGTCTCAGCCAGCCGACACCTTTCTCCAGGAGTCCCCAAGCACCCCCTGAATGGGTGGCCTGGGCCTGCGCTCCCCCAGCCTCAGCCCCCAGCCTCTGCTCTTCCTCCCTGAGTCCCCGTCCAGGGGAGCAGTCTCCTGCCTCGGGCCATTACCAGCTCTCGTAAGGCACCTGTGAGGACAGCAGGTGGCTACCACTGTGTCTCCTGCCTCCAGGACAGTGACCGGCACACAGCAGAAGCCCATTATTGTTTCTAGAACGAATACCTCGATGGGCTCCTGTTGGTCCAGGTTTCTTCACGGCCAGGCCCAGCAGTGCCCCTGGCGGCACCTGGTCCTCCCTTCCTCGCTCCCTCAGGCCTCAGCCAGGCTTGGCCTTGGCTTCCTGTTGCACAGTGGGTGCTGGGACCCTGATCGGGTTGTTGGGATCCTGCACCAGCTCGAGTGTCCAGTTCCGTCCACTGACAGTGGTACCAGCAGTGGTACCTCACACTTCTGGCCAACGCCCTCACGGGAAGTGGGGAGCGCTAGGCTGCCGGGAGTCGGAGTTGCATCTGGTGGTGACAGGCTTGACACCATCGCGGTGCCCTTCTGTATTAGCCCCTGGTCCCTAGGAGCAAGTCCTGTGGAGCTTCAGGCTCGGTTTGCTCAGGTCGTGGGTGATAAAGATGCGCAGGAGCTCTGCCATCTGTGAGCCTGCCTCCAACCAGGGAGAAATCCACTGGCAGCCTGGCCCCGAGGTCTTCAAAGTGCGTTTGCAGGACAGATGCCCTTAGCAGGAGCCAGTCTGAGGAGGCTTGGTGAGGCCTCCATCGGGACCTGAGAGTTAAGTCTTCTGTTACCTTGGTGTCTTACTGACATTGCTTTTCTTCTCGGAGTCCTTTCCAAATTGAGGGAAGTGAAGAGAGTGAATGTTTCTGTCAGAGTGCCTTGGGTCTCAAATGTAGCTGTCGTACCCTCTGATCCTGGAGGTGAAGCCTGACACCAGATGTGGTAATGACTGGCTCCTCTCCTTTGCGGGCGAGCATGACATCTGCCCTTGGCAGTGTCATGCATGCCAACCTTCTGGGCACCCCATGTAGCCCATGGCCCAGGACAGCACGGGGTCATTTGGCTCCTTTGCCTGACTTGGGTCCAGGGCTTGTCCTGTAGTCCCCATCTCCAGACAGCCCGTGTGCTACCCACTTGTGATGTCTTCAGACAGGAGCTTCAAGCCAACTTATGGAGCAGGTGAAAATTCACTGGTCACTACTTTGGATTTTCCCTTTCCCCCATTTTTTTAATTGGTGCATTGCAGGTGTACATCACGGTGTGATCTCTTGTCACATAGCCATGTGTGCACACAGTGTTATAATATAATTTGTCCAATGTCATTGGTTTGTTCCAATTTTCATTGAGGTTATGGAATGTGAATGTTTTCCTATACAAACATGCACACTCACACAGAGACACACAAACCAACAGACACACATAGATGCGGACACACAGATCCTCGTTGAAGGTGATTTGTTTCATTTCTTTGATAGTTAGTTTTGGTGAGGACTAAGGTGTCTTGCCAGAAAAAGATGCAGTCTTTTTTCCCCCCCAGTGGCAGAGCAGCATGGGTTATACTCAAAGCATAAAGTGGACCACTGTTCCATTTCCCCACTGTCAATCTCTACATTCCATTTCTGTGGAAACATGGGTGACAACATCTCCGAACTATTTTCTGCTGAAAGGGGTGGGGATGTTGGGGAAAGTAACCCAAGGTTCTTGTACTCTATCAGGTGGGGTGTGGAAAAGATGCAGTCTCATTTAGCAGGAATCTGTGGCTCACAAAACATCCTCCACAGCAGGATTGTTGAGCACAAAATGCTAATCCAAATGTTCTCTGCTTGATTCCCAAATCCTGAAGAACATCTCCATGATTTTCCCAAGGATCAAGATTTCCAATTTGAGTTAATATAGGCTATGCACTCAAACAGTCAGGAAAGGAGGGCAGGATATCAGTAAATGTGATGCATACTCAATGCAAAATTCACAAGGGAAGCAGGCTTCAGAGAGCCACTGAGGGGGGCTTGGTCTGCAAGCTTGTAGCAGCCTGTGGTGCCGACCTAAGACTGGCCAACCCAAAGTGGGGAGGCGGAACCCTTAAGACACTTGCACTTGATTGTGTACATATGAATTCTTGGGGAGAGAATTCATAATTTTTTTTAAAAAATTGGATTCTTAAGGAAGTTAATGTCATTGAATGGGATAGAAAAAGTTCTTATATTTGCAGAAAAAAGTTATGTGTTGGTATTAACACGATTTTGAGTTTATGCACAGAAAGGCAGTTTAAATACCATCTAAGGAGCCTTCCCTCTTTCCTTAGGCGTAACCTGGCAGAGCACGTGAAGGGTGAACCTGCTCCTCCTGGGATGACCACAGCACCCCTGGCCCTGGAGCACATGATTCTGACTCACCGCGTTGTGGTCAGCTCCTGTCCTTCCTCTGATGTCGCCCTCCATGAGATCAAAGGGCAAATGAGAGTGGGAGCCAGGGCTGGAGAGCTGCAAGGGTGGGAGGTGTGGTTGGAGCAGGGTCCCAGCAGGGGAAGGTTCTGAGGATTTCAGGGCTGGGAACTAGATGGGCCAGCGGTCAGAGGTGGAAATAGGGAAATTCCTGAGCCATGGTAGGAGCTGGAGGGAAGGAGCCATTTCCTAATTCCCTGGTGAGAAAGAGCAAATGGCCGATAATGAGGTGAGGCAATGGGGGGTGTGTCCCTAGGACACTCACCTTTAAGGTTTCATATATATGGGTGTGTTTTTTTTTCTTTCATTGTAGGAGGCCAAGACAGGAAGTCGGTACTGGATTAACTATGTGGTTGAAGAATGAAGCTGCCCTATCAGAACTAGATGCAAAGAAGGAAGGAGAAAGAAATGTTGAAATTCCCCAAGAAGTAAGGAAAAGACAGCTTTCTCTTTCTTTAATCCGCAGTCCAAGTAGGTAAGCATGTACTCAACACGCAGCTTCAAGCCTGTTCCTCACCGTGTGGCGTTTCCACGGGGAAGCCCGGGTGACCGAGAATCCCTAGAAGCAGGCCCCGGTGGATCAGACTCACAGTGAAGCCAGGTCACAGAGACGGTCAGCACAGGTACACAGTCAGCCTGTGTTTTCTGTGCCTGACCAGAGCGTTATGGCTGAACAAACCTCAACATGAGTTTTTAAACTGTGAGAGAAAATATTTGAAAAGGAGTGAAATAGAGATTGTGAAGTGGAAAAATATAACAAATGAAAAGAAGATTCAGTGAGTGAGTTGAACAGTAGCTTGGGTGTACCTGAAGATGAACCCCTGAACTAGCCAGGTCAGAAGAACGACCTCATGCAGCACTGGAGAGAGAGATGGAACCTGAGAGGGCCCGGGGCACAGAGGACGGAGGAAGAAGTCCAGCACGTCTAATCAGCTCCACTAGCAATAATGGAGAGGAGGGGGAAGAAGCAGGATTTGAAGAGAGAAGAATTTCCTCTGATTTAGGAAACCCAAGAAACATGAACAAAGTGAGTCAAAAGAATACCACCCAATAAGAAGTGAAGATGGTCAAAGGATCCCCAGAAAAACAAGGGGATAATACCCAGAAATGCAGACAGCACCTCAATAGGAGTAACAGGCAAATTCTCTCAGAGTTATTTTAGCAGGAAGGAAGAGAGGGCTGGGGATGTGGCTCGGTGGTAGCGCTCGTGCCTAGCTTGTGTGACGTCCTGGGTTCCTTCCCCAGCCCTGCAGAAGAAGAGGAAGAAGAAAAGAAATTATAAATAAGTAATAGAAATCCTAAAAAGTCCTACAAATGTTAAATAAAACCAACAAATTAAAAAGCTTTCCACCAATAAAATAAGGAAACTCTAGGCCATGTGGTTTCATGGCAGAATTCTACAAACCCGCAAGGAAGAAACCATGCCATTTTTCATGCATGACTGTCTCAGAACACGGGAGCCAGCATGTGAAGGCAGGTGACCGCAATTCCAGAGCCAGAGCAGGCGTGTGTCACCAGGAGGAAACACAGCCACCTCAGGCAGGGACACACTTGCTTTACTCTGGAAGAAAATGTGAACAGATGGGGCCTAGTGGTGCCGCTCGATTTAGTAAGTTCTGCTTATAATAAAAGTAACAGGAAATCATGACTCGGAGGGAAATCCTTCAATCTGAAGGTGCACACACTCACACACACACTCACACACACACTCACAACACATAAAAATATACTTCACATCTTTCCCATTTTTATTCCATATAGTATGGGAAGTCTGACTCATAGGAAAGAAAAAGATATAAAAGCTGTAAAGTTTATAAAACAAGATATAAACTTGTCTTTTAAGTAGAAAAATTCCAACAAATCTACAGATTGATTATTTGTTTGATTGTTTGGTTGATTGTTTGATTTGGAAGATTGCTGGAAAAAGGTGAAGATACAAAAATTGACTATATTTCTATATACCAGCAAAAATTCAACAGAGAAATGTCATTTACAATGGTTTAAAAAATAGCAAACATCTAGGGATGATTTTAATGAAATCGTGCACTATGAAAACCATGTGCTATTTTTGCAGAATATTTTTTAATCTAAATAAATAAATGGATACACCTGTTTTGTGGATTATAAGACTTGATACCATAATGATTTCAATTTCACACAAGTTATAGATTCTATATGATTCCAACTGTTATCCAACAGTTTTAATTTAAATACAACAAATTGATGCTAACACCTATATAGAAATGTAAAGTTTCAAGTAGGGCAAAATATTCCCTCTCTTGAACCTTGTACCAGTTCGGACAATGCTGTAACAACAGGCATAGGATGGACCCGTGTGAACCCACTTGCACACACACCAAGCACAGAGCACAGAGAAAGACCCTCACGTCTGTGCACACAGCTTGCAACAAGAGTGGTCTTCAGGGCAGCAGGGAGAGGACACTTTCAGCAAGTGACCCTCGGCCATGTGGGCAACCCTGGATGGGGGAAAACCACACCAATCAGTTCTGAATTGATCGTAGGTCCCAGGGGCAAAAGTACAACAAGTGAAGTCCTGAAATATAACTTAGGAAGTAACTTTATGCTGTCAAATAGGGGAGACTTTCACAAGTAGGGTTCAAAAATCATTTTTCACTGAGAAAAACGTTAATGAAGTAGACTACATTAAATTAAAAACCACTTTTTTTGGGGGGGGGGTTGTCAAAAGACGTCCATGAGCTAATTGAGAGGTGAGACAAGGTAGAATAAAATATTTCCAACACTGGTACCGGCAACAGGCTTGCAGACAAAATAGGTGAAGAACGCCGACAAACACAGAGCCCAAAGGCAGCAGCCGGACAGAGAAGGGAGAGGTTTGAACAGAGGTTCAGACCCATAGCAGATGGCCAGGGAAGCACCAAGGTGGGCTCAGCTGCTTTAGTGGTCAGAAGGGAAGGTCATCACCACAGGGACAGGTCGCCACCCTGACCAGGATAACTACGGTGAAGAAAGACATGTGTGGACATGGGCACCCTGGATCCAGGCAGTGAGACCCCCTTCCTGTGTGCTGACCTGTTCACTTCTTTGCCTTCCTACTGTGTGTTTGAAACACACCCCTGAACCAGCGATTGAGAATTTGAACTCCATCTGGGCGCTCCTGTCTGTGGGCTCTGCAGCAGCCCCCGGTGGGGATCGAGGAGAGAGCCTCTGCCTCCAGGCTCTCTTCCTGCCCTCCACCCACCACCCCCCTAGGCACAGTGCAGGGAATGCCAGTTCTCTCAGGGGAGGAGAAGGGGGCCATGTGGCACTCGTTTGCTTTATTTACTATGTTTGAATTGGCAGGTAGCATGTCTCACATGTTACATGTGTGACCATCAACTGAGGAGCAGTTGGCACACTGGGAGGAGGTGCCAGGAGCAGGAGTGGGAAGGTGGGTGTTGGTGTTAGGTAGACCCAGGTGGATGGGTGGGAGCTGGTGAGGGGTCAGTCCAGGAAAGAAGATTTTACTCTTATTTTGACTTGAGCTTAACTACACTCCATCCACCCTGGATAAAGACTTGGGTGGCAAGACCCCCTGGGCTGCACATTTAGAGTCAACAGATTAAGGCAAAACCATTTTGGTTTAAAAAATGAGGGGAAAAAAAGTATTTCTGAACATATAAGTTGCCTCTAATAACTACACCTTCAGAAAATCATTTACAAGAATCTAATCTCCAAACATAATTACTCTTCACTAAGAGGATGGGGCAAAATTGACCAAAATGATGGTTTATTACAATAGCAGGAGGCCACAGGGCATTTAACAGGTGAATTCAGCTACCATGATTAGCCAAAAAAAAAAAAAAAGTTTCTGGACTTTGCACCAGGGTCCAAGTCAAAACTTTCACATGGTACAATTTAGATGCTGGGAGAACTGGGATCTGCTGGGTAACTATAACATCCTACAGTTTACACACAAACACATTCTCTCTACTTTATGAATAACTCATTTTAAAGGTATCTGAACTGCATTCAGAACTTTAGAACTCATCCTGGCAAGGAGAGGCTCTGGCCTCTTCTCAATAGATTCGCAGGACAGAAGGCAGCCCCAGTTCTGAGCTGGCACTGCCCACGAGTCCTGGAGGGGACAGGAAGTCATGCCCATTGCTTGTCCACTCGGCAGCACTTGCTGAGGGCTTGCTGTGCACACCTCCAGCTACCGGGAGCACCCAGCTGAATAGGATGGGCAGTCACTGCCCTCTGCTCCATGGGGGGTATGGAGAGATTCTGTGGCAACTCCAGGAGGCGTTAGGAGAAGCTGCCATCATGAGGTTGGGAGAGCAATTGTATAAATAGTTAATGAAGAAAGTGCAATGTCAAGTCACATCGAAAACAGAACTGTACTTCTGTAAAATCACATTTCTGTGGACTGAGTTGTAAGAACTCTTGGGAAAATTAGTAAGTTAGTTTTGGGGAAGGAAAGAAAGAAATTTGCAAAATTCCCACATCTTTCAGGAAGGAAGGAAGAGTTGCTACTATTCTTCCTCCTATCTGGCTAAAGAATGAGAAAGAACTCAAGAAAAAGAAGTGGCCTAAGTAAATTATAATCCTTTAGCAATGTTTTCAACTTCCAGATAAATATATGTACACATTATAGTCTCCAGAAAGAAGAAAAAAATTGCCAAACTTGTTCACACAGGTTACATAGCCCTTATCCAAAATGCTAACCACATGAATTGTTTCAGATTTCAGTTTTTTGGATTTTGGAATATTTACATAGACTTTACCAGTTGAGTATTTCTAATCTGAAAATCAGAAATCCTAAATGCTTCCAAGTCAAACCTTTTGAGTATTGGTGCCTAACAAGTTTCAGATTTTGGAGCCCTTGGGATTTAGATTTTCAGATCAGGGATGTTCAGCCAGTAGGAAAAGAACAGTAGTAGGGAAGTGGCATATAAAGAATGTTCTAGATTGGGTGCAGTTCTTGAGCCAAAGGTCATGGTGGACAGCAGAATGGTCAGCACACTCTCCCTGACCTTCTAACATTTGCTGTAGTGAAGAGGAAGACTTTGCTCAATGTGGAATACTGATGATTTCAGTCTTCAGTGGGACTGGTCATGGGATGCTTGTTTTTCAACCCCAAAATGACTGTGGCTCTGAGCTGGGTCATGGACCCACTTATTTTGGGAGACTCCTTCCTCACCTTGATGCGTAACCCAAAGCAGCACTGACTCAGAGCTACATCTTATTAACCTCCACAGACATGTCTGCTTGATAACAGAGAAACGCAGGCTGGGTATATCAGAGGACTTTTCTATGGGAGGCCAGAATTCAACTGGTGGCCAGTCAACTAGCCAACTGAAGGTGCACATTATTTCCTGATGTAAAATTTGCAAAATTCCCACATCTTTTCGTTTTAACTAGTTTTAAAATTGTAATGTAAATTTATTTTCCCGAGGACACCAGGCCAGGCTGCACCACGTTTCAAGTGTGTGCTGTCCTTGGCTTCCACAACCCCCAGGCTTGCCCGGGTGCCCTGCTTCTCCACGCCTCTGTCCCAGGACCCTGCAGCTGTAGTAGTGACATAGTTTGATCCTAAAGCCACCACTGGAGTGAAGGCTGCTTCAAAGTCAGAGGATGTGCCTGCCAAAGACCAGCGATGGCCGCGGAGTGGCCTTTGTCTGGAATGGCTGCAGCCACCAGCTGACTTGGAGTTCCAGTCCCATGGCCACGTGGCACTGGGCATGCTGCTGGCCTTTCTGAACTACATTTTGCTTCCCAGGGGGCATTTTAAACCCAAGCTGACGCCAACACTGCTGCGCAGGGTTCTTTGGAGACAGGCTGGGTCAGGTGCGCTGGCTTCCTCTCCAGGGGCCGCATCTGCGGTTACAACCAGCCTCTCTCAGAGCACAGTGCAGGCCATTTAGGGTGAACATGAGATTACTGGCCTTTCCCCCAGAGTTCCGAAGGAATGAACCAGACCCTCTCCCCATTCCCAGACCCTCCCCGTCAGTTTCCTTCCACACTTGTGTGAATGGGGTGGACAGGAGAGGGGGAAATACATTGTTTCTACTTCCTGTATGTTTACCTTAATCTGATGGAAGTTCGGTTGGGTTTAAATGAGCACAACTCAGAAATCACATTGGCACTGCATTTGAACTCTCCAGCCAGCTTCTGCCGCCTGGGATAGAGGGGGCAGTTCACCCAACTGCGCTGTCCCATCTCAAGGGCGATGTGCACAAGACAGTGAGCTCAGGTGCTTCTTGTGGTGCTCTGAGGGGCCGAGCCCCCTGGGAGCTGTGAGTGGTTGAAGCACGCTCACTTCAGCCCAGTCCCTGGGGAGCCGCGATCCCAGACTGTTCTCCAGGTGTCCCAAGTCCCCGCTCCGTCCCATTTGCATTATCAGTCTGGTTCCTGATAAGTGGGGAAGAATTACCTGAACCCCCTTCCCCTGGCCGGCAGCCTCTCCTGCCTCCACCCTCACACCCCCAGCCAAAGCCTTCTGCAGATTTCTGCTCAGTGCTGCTGGTCGCGGACCCTTCCCTGGCCCCCCCACCGCCCTTCCCCAGTGGGCTGAGACTCCATCGCTCCTGGTCCAGTCCTTCACAGCTGTCCTGGTCCACAGCGCTCACAGGAGTCTCTGCAAGGTGCCTGGGAAAGCAGGCTTCCCCTTCCCTTCCAGGATGTCTGCAGGGAGCGGTCCTCCCACTCTCCCTTCAAACACGGCCGCCCCTCCCCCCCCCCCCCGCCCTTTCCTGGCCCCTGTTAGCACCGAGGCGTTTGTCTCCAGGTAAGATCTGCCAGGTCCGCCTCCTGACTGAGCCTCCCCTGCTCTGCCGCACAGGCCATTGTGTCTTGAGAGTCTCCACTGTCATTGAAATGAGGTGCTGTCTCTCAGTCTGCGGTTCTCATTTTGTTCCTTCTTATCTGTCTTCCTTAGATACCCAGGTTCTCTGGGGGTCCTCGCCTCCCCTGCTGTTCTGAGTGTCCTGTGGTTCCTCAATGGAGAGGACGTGTCCCTTCAGTTAGGAGGAAGTTCTGCTCTCTCCCAAGCTCCAAGGCCTCGGGTCCCCAAGCCAGCCCCTACTCAGCCCTGGCTTCCTCTGCCTCCTGGCTTCCTCTAGGGGATGTCAGCTCCCAGCAGGAGCTCA